ACAAATTCAAGATGAAAATTATGCTACTCTAAAAAGTTTACGACTCTCTCATACATACATGTTTGATTTGATAGTCTGGCATAGTCTAAAATTCTGTTGTGATTCAACCTCAGGATTTGGGATTAAAACAGCTTGAATTTCATTCACATCTGTGCCTCTTTCAAATGATTAAAACCTCTTTTGTATTCAGGTTAGTCCGTTGTGTGCTGAGTGGTATTATAAACACATGACACCATCCGTTTTTTACTGGCTGTGTAGAAGGAAGACCATTGCTTTATCCAGAAATGTCAGGTGTGTTGTTGCTATTGCCTCAGCGCCTATTTCTATCACAGGTTTCGTTCAGAAAAAGAATTCACAACTGCCCATACTTTTGAACATTTGGAATTGTTTTCTGTAAGAATCAGAATGGAAGTAAGACCTACTGGTAACTAGCAGCTACTCTTTTAAATGTACTATCAGTAAGGGAAGCTTTTGAAAACAAAGCCTCATTTAGAAAGTAGACTTGAGCCAAGCATGCATTTATGTTAATGAATGAGACTAGAGGGATCTAGAATTGAGTAAAAGTGATTGGCTGCCAAAACAAAACCCTCTTAAAAATCTACTGATTTCTGTTACAGAAAATGAGAGTGGTGTCATTTTAGATGACAAATCTGGGACTGGCCAACACCCACTGAGTTCTAAGAATAAAATCACTAACAGGAACCCAGACTCAAAAGTCAAGAATAAAGTGTAGTCTGCAGAATTTAAAATTTAAGGTAAAATAACATGGAATTTATTGGCCTTTAGATTATTCTCAATGGCTGATAACATGGGGATTAAAAAATATATTCATTGGAATGTAATCTCATATAAGAACAATCTAGTTATTCCAATCATTAGTTTAGGCAGAAAAATCATTAAATGCAGTAGATAGCTAAAATTAAAAATCTTTGCCCTCAATAAATTTAATCTTGAAGGGTGATGAGAGAGAAATAATGCATTTAAACCTACAGAACAAATCCAGAAGCTTTCTCACACACAGTAACATGGGCAAGAACTACTTACATAGCTGCACAAGGTAGATACAAGTATGAGGAGGAGAGTGGACAAAGCAATTCAGTCTGACTCCCCATGAAATTCACACAGCAGTGCCATTTGAAACTGGCATTTTTTCATCCAAACCTCCAACTCAAGCAGACTACCTCACTGCTTTTGACAGTGCTCCCACGTCCCTCTCTTTTCTACTTCTAAAGATCTTCACTCCAGTATTAAAGGAACATTTGATTAGGAGGATATCAACCTACTCAGGCTTTTGATCTTATTTCCTTTATCTCTTACCATTTATAAGAATTAACATTTTTTGTTTTGTTTTTCCAACTAGACAGTGATGACAGGTTTTGCTATGCATATTTAATAAAAATGTACAAAAAACATCTGGCACAGTGAATTCTTACGATTCGCGACTTTCCAACTCCCATACTTTCTTGTTTCCCTTTGTATTTTCCACTCTAGTTTTTGCTAGTCTTTCTCTCAGCCTACAATACACAAAGGTCTGTCCTAATAATGAATTAATGAAATAATGTAGCCAACAAATATATATAGAACACTTAAAATGTATTAGGCATGGGCCTCCCTGGAGGTGCAAGGGGTTAAGATGCAACGTATGAAGCAATCCGCACTCACTGCAGCACGAGTTCAATCCCCAGCCAGGGTGCTACCCACATGGCACAGCAGACCTCCTCCTGATTCACCTGCTGCTCTGCTCAGCAGTGTATTTCAGTCAATCTGCCCGTTCTGTTCCCCACTCTGTCTCTGGTGGATCCTCTCACCCCCCACACCTCTGGCCCCTCCCCCAGTTCTTGTATGCATAAATAAATAAATCTTTTAAAAAAAATGTATTAGGCATAACTTTGGCCTACTTTTCCTTTCCCTAACAATTCTATTATCTGATATAATCGGGTTTTGGTCTTCATTCGATGGAAATGCGCTAAATATTGTCAATGGTAACTTCTAATACAATGTCCACTCCTCATCTAACAGTCTAACTTGAGTTTCTGCTTTAAACCTTAATTATGCTGTCCCCAATATCTATAACAAAAATATACAAGTCAAGGGTCAAAGGAGAAGATAATATACTACATGATGACATGAAAAGAAAGGAGTTTTTCTGCCTACACTACAGAAGATTATGTTAAAATCAGCAGCTGGGGTCTCAAAATATCTACTTTCAGTTACTACAAATACTTGTGTTCCACATTTCTATAACCTTTTCTGATTTTACAATGATCACAGTCAAAGAGAATTAGTACATAAGCCATTTTATACTTTAAAGTGAAAGGACAGATTTTCTTTCTCTGGAAGAAAAAGTCAAGGCCAACATAGCTCATTCTGACCACTTGTCATAGAGCAAGGAACAAGAAACAACATTAAGATTCAAGCATTTAATTACTCACTGGTTAAAATGATCTCTCTTGCCACAGGCAAGTTCGACTCTGAGGTCAGATATCAAGTTAACTCAGAAACAGGAGACAGCAAAGAAGAGCATGGAACATTCTGTATCTGGTTAAAAAGTCCCTGTTCTAGCTAACCCCATCCCCCAAATTCAATGATTGAGTTATGGAAAATTTCTTGTGTGGTAAAACTGGGGACTTTGTCTTCCAATAAGGCCCTGGCAACCTGACAACAAGCCAACGTTCTGCATATGGTTTGTTACGAGTCATATGCTTAATTTTATTTTCTGGGAATTCTCATTCTGTGTTTGGTGGGAATACAGAACATGTCATTTTAATCATGATTTTAAAGTTAGACTTGGTCATGCTCTCTCATTGGAGAAAGTCTAAAATTAAATAAAAATTATTTTAAATTGTAATAATAGTAATAATAATAATAATGAAAGATTGCAACAAATGCGATGCCTCTGAAGCTCTAAAGTTCTGTGGTTCTTTGGTTCTGTTCCCTGGCTTATTTCAACTGAGGAGATGAAAAAGTAAAAAACTCCATTACATGCTTAATATTTTTTTTCAGAACCCTTTCTCTGTCTTACTGCCAAACATACCATAAACCAAAGGGCTTTTTCTCAAGGGTATTATTTGTATCCTAGCCTCTCTCAAAATATGTAATAGCTTCATTACATCTGTTCGAATGTCCATTTATTAGAGCTATATCAATCCTGATTTAGGAATAGAAAATAGGGATAAATTTCCTTAAACCTAATGAAACTGTCCAAAAGATAAATCTAATAATTATTATTTCTGGTTGAGGGAAGGAAATATTCTTCAAATTATAGTAAGTTTTGGAGGTAGGGCTTACATTCTCTATGGGACCTTGGGGCTGTCATACAAAAGACACACTGTACTAAAAATACGACAGGCCAAAAGCATACATAAAGTATCAAATTCAGCTTGGCTACTCCATAACTAAATTGAGATTAAAAGTCCTTTGAAAAGGGATATTTCCTTCAGTCATCAGTATACCATTCAAATTTGCGTAAAATTAACACTAAACCTCACCAGAGGTGTAACAGTCACCACTAACTCTCTTCCACTTGGGGATGAGAATTTGCCTGAATTTGGCTGTAGACAAGACTAAGAGTCGAGTTATCTTGCATATGTCTAATCTCCTTTTGATGCATCTTTCCTCTCTTTTATGTTAACCCTTACATCATACTTTTAGGGTTTTTATAATCCTTATCTATGTTACACTAAGAAATACAGTAGCGGGGCCTTCCCCGGTGGCCCAGCGGTTGAGCGCTGGGTTGTGAAGCTGCCTGCAGCCCCTGCAGCGCTGTTTCAATCCCCAGCTGCTCCCCGGCCACCGGAGGAGGGTCCCGCATGGCGCGCAGACCTCTCCTGCCGCCCGCTGCTCCCCTCAGCAGTGTACTTCGGTCCTTCTGCCTGCTCTGCTCCCCGCTCTGGCTCTGGTGAATTCACTCACCCTCCCGCGCTTCTGACTGTACCCAGTGCTTGTATAAATAAATAAATAAATAAATTAATTAATTAAATAAAAGAAAGAAAGAAATACAGTAGCATTGTTCAAAACAGCAAAACAAACAAGCAAAAACATGGAAACATTCCAAATGTGTTTCAATGGGACAGTGGATGAACAGACTACATAGTGAAAAAATATATAGCAGTCAAAATGAAAAATCTTTAGCAAAATACAGTAACAATAATATGATAAATGAAAAACCCCAAAAGACTTCATACAGTATGATGCTTTTCATGAAATAAAAACTAAAAAAGGGCCTCCCTGGTGGTGCAAGAGATTAAGTCTCAGCACTATGATGCTATTGGCAGCCACTGCAGTACAAGTTCCATCCAGGGCCAGGGAACTAACCAAATGATGCAGCAGATCTCTCCTGTCTTGCCCGCTACTCCCCTTGGCAGTGTATTTCAATAGATTCACCTATTCTGCTCCCTACTCTGTCTCTGGTAAATCCTTTCACTCTCCCCCCTACGTCTGCCCTATACCCCAGGCTCTTGTATGCATAAACTAAATAAAGCTTTAAACAAAAATCACTGATGAGCCAGTTTTAATTAAACTGTAAAATAATTTCATACAGGACATTTCACATCTTGGCTGGAAATTAGAAAGGTTAACAGTGGCTTCCTGAGGGGCACAGCAGGCGAGACAGGAGAGATCTGCTGTGCCATATAGGTTAGCTCCCTGGCCGGGGATCAAACTAGTGCTGCAGTGGCTGCTGATAGCTTCATAGTGCTGAGACTTAACCCCTTGTACCACCAAGTAGGCCCCTAACACATTTTTTAGATAAAGGGAATTTTTTACTTCTTTGGAGGAGTTATAGTCTCAAACTCCAAAGCTTCTTATAAATCAAGATTATATGACATGATGTATGACTGACTTAAAATTAAAGAAGCATAACCTGAGCTTAACCTTCCTTGCTATAGGTTAAGAAGGGAAAAGATTTTATCTTTCAAATTCTATCCCAATAAAGTCTTTTATATATTTCCTCCCATTCAAACAGTGACAAAATTAATATCAGTCCTGAAAGAATTACTTACCCAATGAAAGCCACCATCTGCTCCACTATGTGTTTGCTGAATGTTATTATAACGAAGATTTTCTGTAAAGAAAATACCAGTTAAAATATTTTCTTTTTCACAAAAGCCAATTTAAATGTACAATTCTGATAACAGTAAAAAAAAAAAAATGAGGTTCTGATTGTTACCATAATGTTCAAAATTCTTAAAAAACAAAAACTCTGGTGTTTCACAGGCAGTTGTCACCTACTTAGTATTTTGAAGATGTTTTTCCCTAGGCACTAGGAAAGATGAGGCTCAAGTCTTACTAGGATATATGATTATCTAAAAATTATTATCATGAAACCCAAGACCGGGTAGATATTCCCCGTGTCTTAGGGATCTTAGAATTGTGGTTACAACCAAAGTCCTAGGTTCCAAGATAATCTCCACCACTGAAATAAAAGCTAATGACAGGGATCTGGCTATGGTTAATCTAAAAGATCTTGATAAGACTGTCATTTAGGAAAAGTTTTTATAGATGTATCATGCAAGTTCCATTCTCAGATTCCAAATGAGCTTGGACTTTCAGGCTTGGAGTACAAGTAAAGGCATCAACAGGTTATTGAGGATCTTTATCAACTGGGGCATTTTCTTTTCATTTTTTTAAAATTTAAATTTTATTTTTATATTCCCCATACAATTGCAACCCCCTTATTTTGACCCCAAATCTCCTTTCCCCGCCCCGCCCCCCCACATAGTGTCTCTGGTTCATAGTTGTTTGTTGATTTTGATTTTTACTTTCTTATAGTTATTCTTTTTCCTGGTCTCTAAGTTTTCTAGATTCCTGCTATGAGTGAGACCATCCGGTATTTTTCTTTTTCTTTCTGGCTTATTTCGCTGAGCATGATCCCTTCCAGCTCCATCCATGTTGCTACAAATTGCATGTGTTTATCTTTTTTGAATGCCAAGTAATATTCCATGGTGTATATGTACCACATCTTCTTGATCCAGTCATCTATTTTTGGGCATTTGGGTTGTTTCCAAAGCTTAGCTATTGTAAATAGTGCTGCTATAAACATAGGGGTGCAGGTGCTCTTTGGAATTGATGTTTCTGTGTCTTTTGGGTAAATAACTAGGAGTGCAACTGATGGATTATGTGGAAGCTCTATGTTTAGTAGGTCCAGAAATCTCCACACAGCTCTCCATAGTGGTTGGACCAGTTTGCACTCCCACCAGCAGTCCAGGAGAGTTCCTTTTTCTCCACAACCTCGCCAACATTCGTTGCTGCTAGTTTTTTTAATATGTGCCATTCTCACTGGTGTCAGATTGTAGTTTTGATTTGCATTTCCCTGATTACAAGTGATGTTGAACATTTTTTCATATGCCTGTTGGCCATTTGCATTTCCTCTTCAGAGAAGTATCTTTTTAGCTCTTCTGCCCATTTTTTGACTGGATTATTTTTTTTGTTGAGTTTCATCAGCTCTTTGTAAATTTTTGTGATCAGTCCTTTATCATTAGTGTTGTGTGCAAAAATGTTCTCCCAGTCGGTGGGGTTTCTCTTTGTTTTTGTTATTGTCTCTTTTGCTGTGCAGAAGCTCTTTAATTTGATGTAGACTCAACTGGGGCATTTTCAATTTGTTCTTACAGAGTTACTCTCCATTAACTAAAAATGTTGATATCTTACTTTACACATAATGTGCCTTTAGGACTAACAAGTAATAGATATTCTCAACTGAATTCAACAAATACTATAAAAAGTACTTAATAATTAATAATATAAGGAATTAATAAAGATTTTTTTTTTTTGGTGGGACCCTCACTGGTGGCTGGGGATCGAACTGGCATTGCAGAGGCTGCGGGCAGCCTCGCAACCCAGCGCTCAACCGCTGAGCCACCAGGGGAGGCCCAGGAATTAATAAGATTTTTAGGGAACACAAAGATGAGGATACTTCTTCAATACCCTGAAGAAATTTACAAAATTTCCTATACATAAGTAGAAAGATGGTAAGTACCTACATATGAATAAAGATAAAACTATAAATGCCATTTAGTGATGAAGACAGTGTGCTATAAAAGTTCAGAGAAAGGGGGCCTCCCTGGTGGCACAGTGGTTGAGCGCTGGGTAGCAAAGCTGCCTGCAGCCTCTGCAGCACCGGTATGATCCCTGGCCACCGGGCAAGGGTCCCACATGGCATGCAGACCTCTCCTGCCGCCCGCTGCTCCCCTCAGCAGTGTATTTCGTCAGTCTGCCTGTTCTGTTCTCTGCTCTGGCTCTGGTGAATTCTCTCACCCTCCTGCGCTTCTGACTATACCCAGTGCTTGTATAAATAAATAAATAAATAAATAAATCTTTAAAAAAAAAAAAAAAGTTCAGAGAAAGGAAAGCCATAAAAATTCAACTAGAGTTCAAAAAAGCAATATTAAATTTATTTTCAATGAACTAATAATACTTTGATTAAATATGAGTAATTCTAGATTCTTTCTCCAAACACTTTAATGCTTTTTAAAAGATTTTTATTTATTCATTTATTTATTTATGCATAGAAGAACTGGAGACCAGGCCAGAGGTGAGGGAGGTGGGGGTGTATGTGTGAGAGGATTCCCTAGAGACACAGTGGGGAGCAGAACAGGTGGATCTACTGAAATACACTGCTGAGGGGAGCAGCAGGCAAGACAGGAGCGGTCTGCTATATCATATGTGGGTTAGCTCCCTGGCTGGGGATTGAACTCAGGCTGTAGAGTGAAAGTGCTGAGTATCCTAGGCTACTAGAAAGGCCTTACTTTAATGCTTTTTATTTTTAAAGATTTATTTTACTGGGCCTCCCCGGTGGCGCATCGGTTGAGCGCTGGGTTGCGAAGCTGCCCACGGCCTCTGCGGTGCCGGTTCGATCCCCGGCTGCTCCCCGGCCACTAGAGGAGGGTCCCACATGGCACGCAGATCTCTCCTGCCGCCCGCTGCTCCCCTCAGCAGTGTACTTCAGTCCTTCTGCCTGTTCTGCTCCCCACTCTGGCTCTGGTGAATTCTGTCACCCTCCTGCGCTTCTGACTGTACCCAGTGCATGTATAAACAAACAAACAAATAAATCATAAATTAAAAAAAAAAAATCTTTAAAAGATTTATTTTACTTACACAAGAGCTGGGGTATAGGCCAGAGTCGCGGGAGGGTGTGAGGATTCACCAGAGACAGCAGGGAGCAGAACAGGCAGATGGGCCGACAACACTGCTGAGGGGAGCAGTGGGCGAGACAGGAGAGGTTCTGCTGCGCCATGTCGGAATCTCCCTGGTTGGCAGGGAATCGAACTGGTGCTGCAGAGGCTGCAGACAGCTTCACAGTGCTGCGCTCAACATGATGAGCCACCAGGGAGGCCCTTTAATGGTTTTTAATTGTTAAATAACTTTAGTCCATGTACCAAAGGGGAGGGAAGGAAATAACAATATTTAAGAGTCCTCACAGTATCCATACAAAAAGCCAGTTACATGATTGGAGCTGTAAATGTTTTTACTAAGAAACAGGCTAATGGTTTTGGTCCCTGGTGATTTCACCTCCCTGAGCTCTCCTTACCATCATTTCCTAACATTCAAAATGAGCCAATGCGTAGATAATTACACAATTTCATTGCTTGAAAACAAAATAAGACTTTTTTTTTAAATATGTAACAGCTTGAAAATTCACTGTGGAGTTAAGACATAAACCTGTCAGACACAGAAGAACATATGTCTCAGATCCCTGAAGCTTGCGGTCTGAGTGAGGATTCTACCAAATAAACAAATGGCACAACCCACTCAACAATGTATACAGAGGAAACAAAAGAGTAGAGTAGGAAGGAAAAAAAAGATGGATTGTGGGAACTACTGATGGCAGAAAGAACAAAGAAACTATCTATAAAAGAAGGATCCTTCAATGGAAAAAAGAATCTTAGATTCATTTATTAAATTAGATTTATCTACTGAGTGAGCACTACATTCAAGATGTGATTCTAGGTACTTTAATACCTCAGTAAGCCTACAAAATCTGTTCTTTTTTTTTTTTTTTTTTTAAAGATTTATTTATTTATTTATACAAGCACTGGGTACAGTCAAAAGTGCGGGAGGGTGAGAGAATTCACCAGAACCAGAGCGGGGAACAGAACAGGCAGACTGATGAAATACACTGCTGAGGGGAGCAGTGGGCGCAGCAGGAGAGGCCTGCATGCCATATGGGACCCTCGCTGGAGGCCAGGGATAGAACCGGTGCTGTAGAGGCTGCGGGCAGCTTTGCAGCCCAGCGATCAATCGCTGCGCCACCAGGGAAGGCCCAATCTCTGTCCTCTTGAAGCATATATATTCCAGTGTGTTCATGTGGTTGTGGGTGGGAAGTTAGAGAAGCAATAAAGAATATACATGATAATTATATGGCATATTAAGAGTAAAAGTGAGTATTGCTGATTTTTCATTATTTCTTCATTATTCGGGAGAAAGGCAATGTCTTTAAGTGTCTTTCTACAGGTACTGGACTTGAACTTATCCAATGCAAGGGGAAATCGCAATCTACTATTATTAGTTTGGCTGATTTGGATTTTTTAGGGGAAGTTTAATAGATAGCAAGATATCAACATATTTTCACCAAGGAAGGTTGTCTAGTTTAAGTTGTGAAAAATGAGGAGATAAGTTCAGAAAAATCTGTGTGTGGGTTTCCCCCTTGTTATTTCAGAAATAGCTAAAATGTTTTTATTACTCATTAATACTGCTTACCCAAGGGCTGAGAAATGTTTGTTACCCCAAGCTACATCTGGATGTACATCAAGTGACATGCTTTTAGAAAGAACGTCTCTATGATACAATGCAACATAACAAACATCTAGGTTCAGTGATGGAACTCAGATGCTTTCCTTTCAGTAACATAGATGGATTTTAGCTTTATTTATATTTTTTTCATCTACAGACATACGGGATGAGTTTCAACATTTTAGAGCTTGGTTTGCATTGCAGGGCTTTAGGTAAGTGTTTTATCTTCCTAACATTCATTTCCACCATTTATGAAACTTCGATAGTTACCACCTCACAACACTGTTCTGAGATAACCAATGCAAACTGCCTGGCACGTCTTTATAAATAGCAGGCATTAAACAATTCAGTTTCTTAATCATATAAATAACTTATAGTTCAGAAGGGTGGGTAAAAGAATGGAAAGAACACTGAACTTGAAGCTGAAAGACTTGGGATCAAATTCCAGCTGTCCTTTCTTAGGCAACTATTACTGATTAACTTCTCTAAATTGGCAGTTACAAAATGGGAGTAGCAATTTATATATCCCAGGATTACAGTAACTAAATCAGATCACATACAATAAATGCTTTAAGGTGTGAAGTGCTAAATAAAAAATTAACATTACTGTAACTTGAAAATATCTTCTGAAACAGTTTAAAAATAGATTAGTTTTGAATATTCTGTAATGAAAGGCTCAGTAAGTACACAACCATTACAGAGTACTTTCAGCAGAATAAATTTCACTATTAAAGTATAATATATAGAAAGTTACTACATAGAGCAGATGCTATGTAGAGAAGCTTATGAACTCCTAGAGAAGATGCTATCAGTAATAACCTGCTATTGTTCCTTAGCTATTAATAGTTTCAAAGTACTGCAGGAAAGTTAAATGGTAACTTCCCCTTTCCCTCAAAAAGAACAAGAATGATTAAAAGAAAAAAATGACCTCAGGTACCCTGCAAAATAATTTATTTACTCACCACAATATTTTATTATTTAAAAAATCTTGTTATAGTGTTTTACATCTTTACCAAAGTGATTAGCACCATTAACATTAAAAAAACCTATGCTCACTGAATAAACTTACTGTATGGGGAAGGAAATATATTCCTTGAAGGGAGAAAAACACATCCTTAAAATTCTGAATGATTAACATGGCAGGAGAGTAGTCTCAATAAATTCATCCCTGGAGGTAGAAGAAACTTGGGAAATCGATGTGCTTTTTATTATTAAAGAATCATACCAGGGCATAGATACCACTAATTAGGTTCTTACTTTTCCAAAGAGGCCAATGTCTCTTTGTTGCAAACTTCACTGATTAAAATTCATTCCTGGTTAATTTAATTTACTCCAGTGACATTTGTCCTTAGAAGAAATAATTCACAGAATAGTCCTGGAAGCATGTATTCATCTCCTCTCATTTCAGTGCTCAGCCTCTTTCCTATACACATACATGAGCACACACACATGTGCACTATTAAAGATTTCGTGAAGTCTTTGAAGGCTAGCAGGCTCTTACATCTCTAATAACATCACTATAGTGTAAAACAACAACAACAACAGAATTAATGAAAGGCAGTGGTCAGTAAAGAAATATTTTTCTATCGTGTGTGAAAATAATGGGCATTTTCCTATATAGGAACATTATTTTTGTTGGGTAAGTCTTGAATAAACACTTTCATAAGGCAAAGAGTGAAATTAAGAAAGAACAAAAGGAAAGGAAAGAAAGAATAAAGAAAACAATGAGAAAAATAAAGGGGAGGCCACAATTTTTTAATAGGGATGGAGAAAACTGCCTGAAATTTACTAACCTCCAAATGATGTTCATGGCTGAATACCTAAGCAACCTACCAACCAAATGAAACAGAGGCAAAATCTTTACAACTTGCTTTAGAATAAACAAGAGAAATATGTTTTAAAGGACTCATCATCATTAGGTAAGGAATTAGAGGGTATAATTACCTGGATATGCATTTTAATTATTGCTTTTCCAATCAGGGTTGCACCAAAGAAAGTCCAAAAAGGTACAAGAAAGTGTCCACAAGTTATTCCAGCCAGATCAAACAGTGGATTTGGAATCTATAAAAGAAGAAATTTCTTTTGATGAGACTTCCATATACAATCCAAAGAACACTTTAGTTTTAGCACAAATAAATAAATACATGCAGAATTCTGTTTTATGCCTGCTTACACTGGAAAGAGATAAGCGTTCCTTGATCAGCACTAGACAGCTCATGTTAGGCAAGTATTTTAAAATGTCTATAAATTGAGTCTGATATTGAATCTGTGCTTTTATTTCTCAACATAATCAAGTGTGGACACATCAGAACACAGATTCACATGCTTTGAATACTCAATCCCAGATAACAGTTTTACAACAAATACCTTTTCAAAACATACCCACATTTCAGGAATGCTAAAGACAATTTCATGTAAAAATACAAAGAAACCACGGTTTTTGAGCACTTCACCAATTTTTCTCCCTTATGGCTGTTGGCTGAACCACTTAAGCCAATTAAATTTAATCATTTATGTCAATTTCACATTCAAAATTTCAAAGTTCAGTTGTTTAAAAAATATTTGTCAATATGTTCTTTTAAAAATAATTCCATGACTGGGCCTCCCCTGGTGGTGCAGCGGTTGAGCGCTGGGCTGCGAAGCTGCCTGCAGCCTCTGCAGGGCAGGTTCAATCCCCGGCTGCCGGGCAAGGGTCCCACATGGTGCGCACACCTCTCCTGCCGCCCACTGTTCCCCTCAGCAGTGTACTTCGGTCCTTCTGCCTGTTCTACTCCCCGCTCTGGCTCTGGTGAATCCTCTCACCCTCCTGCACTTCTGACTATACCCAGTGCTTGTATAAATAAATCTTTAAAAAAAAAAAAATAATGCCATGACTAAATTAGAATTCAAATGTGCTTTTGTAAATAACACTTGAATTCAATAACTCAGTTTTGTTTTTCTCATCTAAATTCAAATGTTTTATGTAACTTCATTTCGGTTATTTACATGGTTATCACAACCATATAATAACAATATCACCTGCACAGACTTAGATCTGTCAGTTCTTGAATTTTCTCATGTGACCCTCACAACCCCATACATTACAATTCTAATTGTTTTATTTTATTATCATACTTCAATTCATGTCGAAATGTAAATTAATTTAACATATATAAGATATTTAAGTCAGAATAGAAAATAATTAGAATTTTATAATATTTTGGACATCTCAGTCTATGTTGGATACTCTAAGAAGAGCACAATCAATGACTATTGTTACAGGTGCTTTTCACTAATTATTTTATCAACTACTAATTAAGTACATAAAAATAAGATTAGAATTAAAATAACTCTTAAGAAATTTTGAGATTTTTTTCCCTCACTAAGTTTTATCTTAGTTTTTGTGTTAACAACAAAATAAATAACAAGCTTCTTTTTACCTTACATAAAGTATGCATAAATATGTGTTAAAAATCTCTAGAAAAGTTTTAGAAGCCCAAATTGATCTGTCAATTTATATTAATACTGATTATGCCTACTCAAATATAAAGAAGACCAGTTGGTATAAAAATGAATTTTTCCAGAAAACAATGATGGGATAATTTCCAAGCATATATCTGATAATTCCATGTGGAATTCAACTATGAGTCTCCTGAACAAAGATAAAAATATTTCTTCAAAAAAAAAAAGTGAATTCTTAGTAGTTAGGACATAAGCATAGATGTGTCCAAGAATATAATTTAAAAAACAATAAATCAAAAGTATTTGTATTTCTTCCAGGAATACTGAAAGCTAACTTTTATTGAAGCTTTGATCTGTAGGTACTTTTCGAAGATTTCAACATCAGCTTACTCAATCCCTAAAACAACGCTATACAATGTTATTATAACCATTTCACAGATGAAAAATATGAGACAGACAGGGTAAGCAACTTCTTCAGTATAAATAACATAAAACCCCGAATTTAACCCAGAACATAAACTAAGGACATTATTGCTCAGTAACTCTTTCGGCTTAATTTCATTCTTCTGGACTTCACAGCACCTTTTATTTATCTCCTTCACTAGACTTCAAAATTCTTAAGGAAAAGGAACATATGCCTCACTTCTTTACTCCAAGTGTGTAGTAGTGGATACAAAGCTGATGAGAAACAAGAAATGGTTGAGCTTTAATGTTGTAGGCATTGTGTTATCAGTTTATCATCTTAAATATATCAGCCTTTTCGTGAGGATCTTATTGCCCCATTTTAAAAATTAGAAAGTGACAATGTTGTAAAAGTACCTCAATAAAAACTAAATAAAACCTTAAAAAAATTGTAAGAATAGGGCTCAAAGATGGTAACTTGACTGAGATTACACTGCTACTAGGCAAATATTGGCAAAAACAGGTAAAACTGGTTTAGAAGTCCCAGTAAGCTATTTTCTTTCCATTATATCATACTATATACATACAGCACCAATAAATTGCTCAAATAGTTGAGATCAACATTGCAAAAAATAACTTCTATATTAAAGAGGAAAGTTAATTATAAAAATTTCTAGAATAGCCAGGCTCAACAGATAGTAATTTCAGGCTTATTTTAGATGGCTGAACATCTTATTTTATTTATTTATTAATTTAATATTTATTTATTTATTTATTTATTTATTTATTTATTTATTTATTTATGCACGCACTGGGTACAGTCAGAAGCATGGGAGGGTAAGAGAATTCACCAGAGCCAGAGCGGGGAACAGAACAGACAGGCTGATGAAATACACTGCTGAGGGTAACAGCGGGCGGCAGGAGAGGTCTGCGTGCCATGTGGGACCCTCGCCGGTGGCCGGGGATCGAACTAGCGCTGCAGAGGATCTGGGGCAGCTTTGCAGCCCAGCGCTCAACCGCTGCACCACCAGGGGAGGCCCTGAATATCTTATTTTAGAATAGCTCTAGAATGTTGACATCATATTTGAAATTTTGGCACCAACATCCTATTTTGGCCATATGCTAAATGGTGAGAAGGGGTATCTTCATGTTCTAGTACACAGTAGATAAAACAGTAATGTATCTGTAAAAGATCATCTTGTGAATTTTAGTTATAATGACTACTTGTATCATATCAACAAGGTGCTTAATAATTCTCATCAAAAATACTATCAAATTACCAATAATTGTGTATAGGTTTTCAGTAAAAACTTCCATCATAATACTCTCTCTCAAATATATGTGGGTCTACTAAATTAGAAAAGGATTAGGATAAATAACTTATCAAGAACTGTCAATTTCACAAATTCTACAAGTTGAGACATTAACTAAGTTTTCGACCTAAATGGGTTCTTAGTTCCCTGTAGTCAAAGATGTCCCTAACTTTGCCATCTTCCTAGATTAATGTCACTTACACAGGGGTTTATATGAATTCTTCCTTGTAACCAAAGCTTGAAACTTTGGAAAACACTACCTGTCTATAATTCTGTAAAGAATGAAGTCATTGTTACTTGTTAAATAACACTACATTATAAATCCTTTACAAGAAGGATGGATTTTTGTCTCTTATTGTTCCTATGGAATCAAGTCATTTCGATCTGAAGTCATCAATGCACGATGAAATGTCTAGAAATCAATAAACAAGATATGAACACATCTAACAGAAAACAGCTCAACTGATTAGTAAGATCAATGTTTAATAAAATCAGATACCCCTTAAAAGTGGTATCACTTTTGTTCATTTGGGAGTGTATCTTTAAAAACAATCAATCAAAATATAAGTCTACCATTTATTGGAATGTCTCACTTTTAACATACTTACTGAAGCACAGGCCAAAATTCCAAAAAATCCAACCTTCTGTACTAGGTTTTGAACTGCCAGTTTAGCTCGAGAGGCAAAGTCCTGTAAAAAAGAAGGATATCAAAAGATTAATGAAAAGTACAATGAAGAAGGAAGTATGGCTCTTTACAGAATTAAAACATCTCACAATCTAAGAGCATGGATTCACAAATGACTTTTAAAAATCGGCAGTCTGTACTAGAAAACATGCAAATAAAATCTTCACAGAACATTACATCCTTAAAGGTAAACTTTCACATTCCAAGAATAAACCAAAACATTGTTACTTTGTTTTTTGAATTCTATTTGGATGATCTCTAAGGATTAAAAAAAAGTTATAAACGAGCCATGAACCAACTCATTCTTTTGGAAATACTGGTTAACTTACATCTATCTCTTTCTCTTTCCTTCTATAACTTGTCAGATGTCTTCTTTGATTAGTATTAGGGTAGGAAATTATTATGTGCCAATAACCAAGCATTTATTACTCCCCAAAGCAAAATAATACAATGCTTGTACAATTTAAGCTGGCTTTATATTTGAGACTTTCAATAACCCTGAGGTATAGGTGGAAGAGCTTCTTCAGACTGTGAAACCAGTGCTTTTTAAAAAAAACAAAAAGATTTATTTATTTATGCATAAAAGAGCTGGGATACAGGCCAGAGGTGTGGGGCGGGGAGTGAGAGGATTCACCAGAGACAGAGTGGGGAACAGAACAGGCAGATTGACTGAAGTACACTGCTGAGGGGAGCAGCAGGCGAGTCAGGGGAGGTCTGCTGTGCCACGTGGGTTGCTCTCTGGCCTTCCGGGTGATCGAACTCGTGCTGCAGAGGCTATGGACAGCTATATAGGTTGCATCCTTTTTTTTTTTTTTTTAAGACTTATTTATTTATACATACAAGAACTGGGGCACAGGCCAGAGGCGTGGGAGGTGGGAGGATCCACCAGAGACAGACTGGGGAACAAAACAGGCAGATTGACTGAAACACACTGCTGAGCGGAGCAGCAGGCAAGTTAGGAGAGGTCTGCTGCACCATGTGGGTTACTCCATGGCTGGGGATTGAACTCGTGCTGCACTGGCTGCGGATTGCTTCATAGGTTGCGTCTTAACCCCTTGTGCCACCAGGGAGGCCCGAAAACCAGTGCTCTTTTTATTTCACTGTGTTGCCTCCTGAACTGAAACATGCATTTGGCTGCTAGCTAATTTCTATTGTTTCATTCTTCTGGCATGTTGATGCTACTATTATATATATGTATATATACTTTTTCTTAAAATTCCTAATTTGAAATTTGACTTGTAATTTTCCAGTTTAAAACAATGTGTACTCTAATCAAATTTCAATGAAAACTGATACAATTTTACAGTATTAGCTGATGTGCCTTTTCAAAACTTCACATCAAAGAAACTCCATTTCTCTCTTTAGTTCAACATTCTAATAGGCAACAACGTTATTGGAAGTTGAGAACATAAAAGATAGAAGATTCCTTCATGAAATAGGAAAGGAATTAAAGCATTTTCTAATTGATAAGAGAATTTGTGTATTCTTACTGAAATAACAACAAATCACATAGTGAATACTGAAATTAAAATTAAAAAACTAAAACAAAACCATAAAATTCCCCCTACTCACATGCTGAGGATGGTAAATAAAAGGAATTAAACCAGAGAGGCATTTTTATTTTATTTTATTTATTTTTTAAAGATTTATTTATTTCTTTATACAAGCACTGGGTATAGTCAGAAGCGCGGGAGGGTGAGAGAATTCACCAGAGCCAGAGCGGGGAGCAGAGCAGGCAGAAGGACCGAAGTACACTGCTGAGGGGAGCAGCGGGCGGCAGGAGAGGTCTGCGCGCCATGCGGGACCCTCCTCCAGTGGCCGGGGAGCAGCCGAGGATCGAACCAGCACCGCAGAGGCTGCGGGCAGCTTTGCAACTCAGCGCTCAACCGCTGCACCACCGGGGCATATTTTAAAAGATATTAATCAATCAATAGAAACACTTCAAAGTTCAAATATATAGTTTCTAAAAGTTAATCATTAAATTCTGTGGTGCAATTGTGTGACTTATTTGCAAAAAAAGTTTTCCTTATGTATTTATTAAGTCAACTATGTCAGATTTAATATTTTATTTATTTATTTATTTATTAAAGATTTATTTATTTATTTATTTATACAGGCACTGGGTACAAAGTCAGAAGCGTGGGAGGGTGAGAAAATTCACCAGAGTCAGAGCAGAGAGCAGAGCAGGCAGACTGACAAAGTACACTGCTGAGGGGAGCAACAGGTGGCAGGAGAGGTCTGTGCGCCATGTGGGACCCTCACCCCGTGGGGGGCCGGAGATTGAACCCGCGCAGCAGAGGCTGCGGCAGCTTTGCAACCCAGCGCTCAACCTCTGTGCCACCAGGGAGGCCCAGATTTAATATTTTTAAAACAACTGAACTACTGCAGCAAATGGGCATGCACATTTTAGTTTTTATTCATATTTCTAATTAAAGATTTAATTTTTTTCTTGAATAACATCTATTGCATTAGGTGTGAAATACTTATTTTGATTTCAAACTTTAAGAATAATGAAATAAATACTTCTACACTTTAAAACAAATTATTTTTAAAAGTTCCAATTATTTTTAACAATTTATACAAATAATCCCTAAATTACTAAATCATTAACTCATTATAAACACTAGATAAAAACTAGTAAGCCAAGGGCCTCCCCCGTGGCGCAGAGGTTGAGCGCTGGGTTGTGAAGCTGCCCGCGGCCTTTGCGACGCCGGTTCGATTCCCCAGCTGCTCTCCGGCCACCGGAGGAGGATCCCACATGGCGTGCAGACCTCTCCTGCCGCCCGCTGCTCCCCTCAGCAGTGTACTTAGGTCCTTCTGCCTGCTCTGCTCTCTGCTCTGGCTCTGGTGAATTCTCTCACCCTCCGGCGCTTCTGACTGTACCCAGTGCATGTATAAACCAAAACAAAACAAACAAACAAATAAATAAAACATGCCTCTATTTAAAAAAAAAAAAAAAAAAAAAAAAAAACTAGTAAGCCAAAATGAAGAGCAATGTTCATTTTGAGTTTTTAAATATCAACTTATTAGATTAGAAACTTAAAAGAGTCTTTTTTTTTTTATAAATTTTATTTATTTTTGCACAGATGAAGTAGGTTGTAGGCCAGGGATATGGGGCGGTAAGAGGATTCATCAGAGACAAGAGTCAAGAGAAAACAGGTGGATTTACTTAACCACACTACTGAGGGCAGCAGTGGATGAGACAGGAGAGGTCTGCTGCACCATATGTGGGCCAGCTCCCTGGCTGGGGATATAAGCATAGAGGTGATAGTGCTGAGACTTAACCCCTAGGCCACCAGGGAGGCCCCAGGTTTTAATTAATATAGCCCAGGAAAATGCCTCCCTTTACACTTCTGACATCTTCACAGCATTTCCACTTTAATGAGAGGTAAGATGGTACTTAATTGCCAAGAAAAAGTAAAACAAAGGAAAAAAACACCTATCCTAATCTAATTTTAAAGACCACACATGCTATATATATATTCAAGTCAGACATAGGAACATTTTCCTATCACAGCATTTAGGTAGTCCTCTATATATAAATTAAATAAAATCAGGGTTTTTTTTTTTTTTTTCCATAAAATGGTGCAGACAAGATCAAAAGTGATTAGAAGGTTTGGTCTCCTGTTTTCCTTTTTCTTAATTTCAAGACTTTAGAATCTTATATTAATTTAACCAAGTTACTATGATAGTGCCATCATTTCAAAATAATGGTATTTTTCTAGTATAGATACACAAACACAAATTGGAAAAGAACGATGATTATACCAACTGGTTTCTATCAAGAAAAAGTGATTAAACATTATCCAGATCAACTGAAGATATTTAAGTTTACAGAGGTCCAAGGAATGTTTTTTAAGACATCCCGAAAGTAAGGAGCCATTTCAATCCCTTTGGGGCAGAACTTCTTAACAAAAACTAGACAAGAACAAAGGAAAATAAACTCCTTGTTCTTTCAGATGCCTGGGTGCCCATCATCAATTACCCTTAAGGGTGCTTCAAGATCTTTGAGTGAAAGGAGTTACTCTAGCCAAATAAGTGAAGTAGAACCCTCTTACCATTTTTTAAAAATTAATTTTTAGCTGGGATGACTAACAAGGAAAACAGGTTAAGTATCTTTTTTAGTGGGGAATTTTACTTTTTTAAAAAGTCTGCAACTAATATTGAAAAATGGATTTCATAAATCTTATTGTGTGCTTTAACACACTCACAATGACCATGCTACTTTCAGTTCCTATAATTTATTTTCCAGGTCTTTCACAACACTCTTGGAATTAAAATGACATTTGATATATTAAGAAATCCATGAACTTTTATTTAACAATAGTAAAATAACTCATATCCAGATTTCATAAACACAAATATATTTTGTTTAAGCTTATTCACTTTTAAAGTCATATTTTCAAAACTTATTGATATGATTTTAAAGATTTATTAACATATTGAAAACATTATTTGTATGACTTGACAGTTCTATCATACGCTGATTTTAAAGTAATATTATCTGGGATCTCCATGGTGGCGCAAGGGGTTAAGATACAGCACTATGAAGCTATTGCCAGCCACTGCAGCACGAGTTTGATTCTCGGCCAGGGAGGTGACCCACATGATGAAGCAGACCTCTCTTGTCCCGCCTGCCCCTCAGCAGTGTATTTTAGTAGATCCGCCTGTTCTGCTCCCTACTGTCTCTGGTGAATCCTCTCACCCCCTATCTCCCCTGTCTCGCCTGCTGCTCCCCTAAACAGTTTATTTCAATAGACCCACCTATTCTGCTTTGCACTCTATCTCTGGTGAATCCTCTCACCCCCAGCACCTCTGGCCTACACCCCAGCTCTTGTAAGCATAAATAAATAAATCTTTAAAAAAAAGTAATATTATCTTATCATAGAAATATTTATATTTCTGCTGGTTTTTAAAAGAGAAAATGGTATAGTATTATATTATTTGACAACAAACCTAACTTAAATAGATACACCAGAAAACAAAAAACACCTTTTAGTAAAG